TGAGCCAGTTATCAATCACAAGGAACCCTTGAGGTCCGTAGAAACCACCTTGGGAATCTGTGATCTAGATGAGAGGTTGGACAACCTTGTTGTGGGTGGTGTTCCAACCGAACCTATCAGTATGATTCAGGGGGCCACACAATAGAAATTATATGATAAAATTCGATTCCCAAGGCAATACATGTAGGAAGATTGATGTCAAGAAAACAGAATCATGTTTTTATATTATATTAATTATGTATTATTTAAAGCTATTTAATAACATAAAAATAAACATAAAATACAACTAGTTCTTCAACATAAATATAAAAATTGAATATGTACATATATTTTGTATTATGTATTTTTTAAACTTTATATATATACATATATATATATATATATATGACAGGCCCCAGGCCTTCTAGTAAAATGAGGAAGGCATCATCTCTATAATAATTTCTTTATTTTGCTTCAATCACATAAAATCCAACATGGCGGCCCTTTGGCGCCCAACCGAGTAGAACATTAACAACTAATTCGACCAGGAGTCACCAGATAAGATTTTTCGAGTATACGTTCTTCTTCGTCAGGGCTCGCTCCACCTTTAAATAGGCTTATTTATCCACAAATCCTTACAAGATGGTAAAGAGTTCGCTCTATTTTTATTTATTACTTACTTAATTTTGAACCTAAACTTTTCAAACCTGACATATATATATATATAAAATAAGAAATAAACAAAACACAATATATATATATTCCTTCAATATAGTTAAATATTTTAGTGCGAATCTTTTGTCCCCGTCTTTCTCTATTTTATACCAAAATGTCAAGGATATAATTTGTGACTTTAAATTTCGCACGATACAGAAATTTCAGTTGAATCCACGAAGAAGTTATTAAGGAACTTCTATGCAGACTCAAAATACTTTTTATACGAGAAAAGATTTGTTCAAAAAAGATAAGTAGAACCAAAAGTGGAAAGCAGAGTATATGTACTTTTCTGTTCAGACAATTAAATCTACCCAGAAAAATGACATATAACATTTTAAAATAGCTGTTGCTTTAACTTTAGAATTATATACCATTTTTCAATTCCTACTATTAGTTCACTCTCTCCTTATATATATATATACATCTTGTCCAAATTTTTAATCATTTATAAAACAATTTCTATTCATCTATTCAAGTTCAAATACATTTTTTTAACTTGCAGTGGATGGCACTTGATGTTAATACAGTTTTTTCCAATATTGATTCATTAATTAAATTAAAAAATGAATAAATAGTAACAAACAAAAATAATAATCGAACAGCATGTATAAAAGCCGTTTGTTGTGTCCCTGTAGCGCGATGCGTTGGACTTCTAATCCAAAGGTTGTGCGTTCGAATCCCACCTGGGATGGACTAATTTCTGAGGATGATGTGATTTAGTTTTCACTATACTATTTTATTAGAACAATTAAATTTAATTAATGAATAAATAATAACAAACATACAAAAAATAGTCCAACACCAGATATAGAAAGGAAATTCCCTTTGTATTTTGTTATTTAATATTGTGATTCGGTCATATGTATATACATATTTATATTAACTATAATTATTTATAATAAAAAGTAACTAAAATAAAATTTTTCTTTGTTTACCTAAGTAGGAATTGACTTAATTTTTTTATATTACTTGTTTTCAATGATTCCGTAAATTTTCCTTTCCACAATCCTAAAATTGTTTGTTAAATAAGCTCCATTTCAGAATTATCAACTTTGCTCAAAAGTTGAGACGTAGAGTGCCAATAAGAATTGTACGACGTATCATAGGTTCCCGACCCAGTATCTAGATATATGCCATCAAAAAACAAAGTTTTGAATGCTCTACCAATTTTACATACTATTTATGTGTCTATCGAAACGAAAATATCACTCTCTCTCTCTTGAGTTACGAAATGAATAAAAAAATATTTTAACCCTTTATCTACCGACGGTACTTATAAGTACCACTCACTTTAAAATGACATAGAACAACCATTTTTACGAATACTCAGACGATACTTAGCGGGAATATTCTTTGAAATCCACTCTTCCAAGATATATGGCAGCACGGGTTCTATGATGAATATTTTAATGGGCAAGGCGAATAGTTTTATAGCAGAAATTGCTTTTTTAGCTAACACGTTTTCAGCGCATTGCGAAGATTGTGATTTTTGTTCCGAAAAAATAGTTAATGTCAAAAAGTGTCTAATTTTTGTTTTATGTTAATGAAAACCTTAAAAAACGATTTGACTATTTATTTTTAGTGAACAGTGTACATAATTAATTTTACAGTTGATTATCTTTAATAAATTAATTAGCTCTAACGGATTATAAATTTCCCAAAGTTGAGTATTTTGTTTATGTATATTCCTTATATAGTTTTCAATGTAGTGATTAAAAAAAAATTATTGCATGAAATAAAACTGCAGTAAATCATAATGCGGTAGATAAAGGATTAATTGGTCTTTTCATTTTTATCAGCTTAGTTGGCATTGAACAATCCTATTCGTAAACTTAATCACGCAATTTTGCTTTCATAATTTCATGATAGCTTTCATTGTACATCTCTACTAATACACTGCCAGCCATAATTTGAAACTATGCTTCTATGAATGTTTTTCGTGATAGTCTCACTAAATGGCAGCAAACTAAATAATAATACAGCTGAGTCTCGAAAACTCGGTCTATTGTGGTGCTTCTATTGTATTAATATTTTGCCTGTATTCAGCTCAGACCTCTGTACAGAGGCTCAACTAGAATTTTTGAAATGCATAACTTGGAAGTCGGTTTATCCATGTTTTACGAAAACAGAACGGAGAAATTTTAAGAAAATACGCCGTTAATTATTTCAAATGGTTGTAACTCTGAAAATAATGTGAATTTTTCAAAAATCATAGCTGAGCCTCTGTGCAGAGGTCTGAGCTATATACAGACAAATATTAATACAATAGAAGCATTTTTTACAAAAGGAGAACATCTGGAAAAAAGGT